GAAACACAAAACACTTGTTTGTATTTATTGTTTGAAACATTTCATTGAAGATAATAAAAGAGATTACAAAAAAATAATTGTTGACTTTATTGACTAGTATTCAATGCACTTTAATATATTAAAGACAACAGCACACGAAAAGTGAATACAATTAATTGGCAATATAAATAAACTTAATTTTCCATTTTTTCCAAAAAAAATTGGCGCATGCGTATTTTGAGCGCCTTATTTTTTCTAAGTCTTTTGGCGGGAAAATTAAAAATTTTCGAACGGATGTTTATAGAGAAGTAATATTTTTTTTAAAAAAACGGCGCATGCGTATTATGAACGCCCGTATTTTTTCTAAGTTTTTTGGCGGGAAAATTGAAAACATTTGAACAGATGTTACCATAGAAAAACTCTTGCGACAAAAATTGTAAATGATGTTTATTAAAAATACCTCCTTAAGCTCAATGAAATCCTTGAGAAAAAATACTCTAACCTTTCCGAGTTGTTTTCAACGGAAAAGAAATTTACTCTGATTCTTCCTTGCCAATTACCCGCTTAAAGCCGAAACTGTTTTTGTCAAGTTTGTTTTCTACCTTGTATTAAACATGTCTTATCCTTGGATGACCCTCTTGTTCGGCTCTTGCTTGATTTTGTTTTGAAGCGTACGAACCATCAAAACCTGCACGAAAATAAACACGAAAAGATAAACCACTGAGTACAATTATACAGATAATCTTACTATGAGTTCATTTACTTATATAGTTTTGAAAACTCTGCTTAGAAATCGAAAATAAACTGAATTTTGCGATGAAAACACAGCAGGCCCCAGTTATTTGAAGGCTGGATAACGTTATCCACCGGATAAATCACTATCCAGTGGATTGGTATTAACAAAACAAACCACGCTATCCGCTGGATAGTGATTTATCCGGTGGATAGCGTTATCCACCTTTCGAACAACCCGGGCCAGGAAATTACGCAAACAAACCCAGACCGAATAGAAATGTGCTACATCAAACATTTTCAGCGATTACCACCTACAAATCAGCAATAGCTTTCGAAACCAGTATAAACAAGTGCGGAAACAGATCGTCCAGCGAACTTCAACTGTTTGTGTTTATTCCTCGGCGTTAATCTTCTACAGATTTTCATTTACATATTTTTAATTTCGTTATTTCACAACTGAGATATTCTCAAGACAGTGATGACAATTTTTCCAGCTTATTACACGTCCGAGAAGAATACTTCTTGGAGAGTGATAAACCTTCATAACATGTAAATGCTAATGTATTCTCCTGACAAATTTGTGCCTCACTAACATGATATTTTGCGACTCGTTGCGGTCTGAAGATGATTTTGTCATTTGCAAATGATCTTCGCATCGTATTATGACCCTCAGGAAAGGAAAATTACGCGCAATGTGTAAAAACTAATCTACTGACCTCGCCAACAAACGCCATCGTCGATCGTGAGCTTGTCCTTCTCTCCTCAAATAGTGTCTTGCTGATTTCCAGTTTTTCCCATTCTCTGCTTGTCGCATTCCTGGAAAGAAAAAAAAGAATTAGGCAACAACACCCTGGAAAATGTGTCTGTTCGATTCAATGTTTAAGAAAACAAGTAAGCGAGTAGTGAATGGTCGATAACATAAACCACTTTGAGAAGGCGTAAACATACAATTTACACTTGTACACAGAATCCGTGAAGTTTTTGTGTGTTTTTTTTTTTTTTTTTTTTTGCTAATGCACACAATCAGATCAAGTTTTGGCATAAAACGTTTCAAAACTCATAATTTTTCAAAGAAAGAAACTGAAGCATTTACAACTTCAGCTGTTCCTCAAACCGACAGTCAGAAGGTAACCGAATTCACTTCGGCTTAAAGCAATGAACAGGCCAGGAATCTTCGTTTACACTACTGCTTTGCCTTGTTAGCCCAAGTACTTTAATGACCTTTAATCTCTGTTCGAGCAACAAAATTATCAACCCTGAAGACTGAAAGAACGTGTCAAGATCAACTGCCGCAGGAGATTTTATATTATTTTGTGTGACGGAAGTTTAAAGACTCATAATTTTCCAAACACTTTTGACACCCAGAAATCTTGCGGAGTTTGAATCGAAAGCAACTGTCTCCTCCGATGTCACTTCCTAAAAACAGGAACAAAAAAGATCACTTTTCACCAATTACTAAGTTTTACAAACTTTGGAAATATATGGTGTAAATTTGTGTCTGGTGTAATGCAATCCGTACGCTGTATGCCAGTGAGCCAACGGGACAAATAGTTTTCTTTCGTCCTTTCCCTGTTGTGTTTTGATCTAGTATCAATACTAGTTCAGAAAGTTTCAAATATTCTCATCCACCACGATCTCTAGTTTCCAACGTTGCAGTCCTTTTTTTGGAGAAACCAGCAAAGGTTTACATCATCAAAACAGCACGAACCTGTTGGTTGCAGAACACCCTGATGACTAGTTATCCTACAGTCTGTCTGTCTGTCCATGTCAGTCACGAAAGCCTGCTCTAGCCACATCAGCTTTACCTGACAACAAAATGTAAGGTGATGCTTAGACGAGGAGACATGACATATTTGTCTTAAATACAGCTAAAATAATCTAGTCTATGAGAGGGTGTTTCGAAGATGCCTTTTATTTCCCATTCCAAGAAGTTTAGTGGAAGAGAAAGGACAAACTCCTCCCCTCTCCATTACACTACTCAGGAGTACACAATTAACAAGGTAATTTGCCAGAATCCATCCGGGGTCATCATTTCGAAAAAAAATTCCCATACGGATTTTAAATGTGATTACTGCGATGTACATTATTAATATCGGTTACATGTGACGCCACCACCCACATCAACGTGTAGGGGACACGCATTCCGTAATCGGAAAACATTTCAAGGATGAACAAAATGTAAAACAAATGCTGACAAAATGGACTGAAACTTCAACTAATGGCTGAGAAATTGCCGAAAATTGAACTGACAACTGAGATTCCAGCAACCCCTATCAAGACCTTTGGTATCTATGTGAGAGCAACACCCCCCTCCGCCCCGCCACGATTGGGGTAGAAATGATGGGACAAGGAATGCTTCTCTCCCCCATAGAAGAGATGTTAGTCCGATGAGAGTTAATCCCTAGGATTTTCCCAGGTTGCTCTACAGCAATCTCCTTATACCGATTCAAACTCCTAGATGGGAAAAAGCACTAGCTATATAGTTGCTCCAGAATAGGCTGATTTAGCAACAGGACGGGAACTTCAGATGACGACTGCAGGGCGCGCGGAATAACCTGGATTCTGTTCTAATTTGACCATATTTAGGTATTTGCACTGCGCGCGCCGTCTTCAAGTGACGTTCCCGTTCTCTTGCTAAATCAGCCTAATATAACAGTTGACCCGACCTGTGATCGAAGCCAAACAACCCGACTGCGTGTAACATAACACTGTGTCTCTAATGGGTTTGTACTGGATGGCCACTAAATTAACACAAATCAATACCTCTACGAACAGAATATAACTTACAAGAATATAACAGAATATAACTTACAATACATCAATGTACAGTTCCTACCTTGAGAAAAACTCAGACCCATTTGCTCGCTATACACACGGCGACACCTTTGCTTGACAAGAGGCACGTGCTTTCGAAGTTTGCTTGACGGAGTACAAGCCTTGTTACGGGCTTTTGCAGTTCATGAACTCACCAATATTACCACCACAAGTTAAACAGGAGATTTTCCACCATGAATAACCCATCATTCTAATGCACCGGCAGATCAAACCAATCTGCAAAGGGATCACATAGCCATGTAAGTAATGACTCACCTAAATTCCTATGCAAGCATGCAAACCTCTGGGGAGGAGGGAGGTGTACTCTCCATAACGGCCTGTACGTATTGAGAGGCTCCGCCCGAAAGGGGTGCCTTGTTCAGGCTCTAGGTATAAAATATGGCGGGGATATTACCAGTTAAGGTATATAAAAGGTTAGGAAATCTATCATTTAGGTTTAATGTGAACAGGAACAAAATAAAAGATATTAGCTTTTTGGTTGACATCACTTCTGGTAATGCTTGACGTTTTCCCGTAGTATTGTTCACTGACTTCATTCCAAGGGTTTAGAAAAAAGATGCAGTGTTCTAAAGTATGTACATTAAAGAGGTACTCTTTTTTTCGATAAAAGGTACATGAAAAGGGTACCTTTTCTGTGTGGTATACAAAAAAGTAAGGGGTTGGAGCTCGGGGCGGAGCCTCCCCGTACAAAACTTTGTAGAGTATCCCCCCAGGATGCAAACAAACATGCAAGAGGTTGTTTTAGCGAACTATATATTAAAAATTGAATTGATGTCTAAATAAGCGATCCCCAAGGACATGTTAAGGGCAATGCTCACAAAGTTACTTATTTGTTATCAAACGTTCGTTACCTGAGGCACACGACGTAATAAATATGTGAAAGAACCATTAGTGAGGTCGTCATAGATAGCCTCATCTCGTCTACCTCCTGGAAAAAGAATCAATAAAAATCTTCTCTAATTTATAATCATTGTACGTACTACGTAATTATTATAGTCACCTTAACATCAAAACTTGGATTTCGAGCGTGTACATATAAGCTAACGATTCCAGCAAACTCCAATTGCCGCATGCAAACTCTAATCGTGTTCTGTGAAATGTGGGTTTATGATGTTACGATCATATTACAAGTACAAAAAAACTTATGGTGCAAAGACTTATTAAAAACGTAAGACTGATTTTCATACAGCCCATTGGGTATACATAACCGGTAAACGAACATCTTTCGTCAAAAACATCAACCTAGTTTGTTTATTATTTGTAACAGCGTGATGCCGGCACATAAACGTACACCTCGACTGTGATTCGGTGGACAAATGGCTGACAACCTTTCCTAACCTATTTTGTACAATTTTCAGTTCCGTAGGAAATAGCGAAGTTACCTCTACGAACAGAATATAACTTACAATACATTAATGTACAGTTCGTACCTTGAGAAAAACTCAGACCCATTTGCTCGGCATACAAACGGCGACACCTTGACAAGAGGCACGCGCTTTCAAAGTTTGCTTTACAGAGTACAAGTCTTGTTGCAGGCTTTTGCAGTTCGTAACAGCTCCAAGAGAAAGGACAATGCCAAACCGAAGCTTGATACTTTTTCGTAGCAGCAATAAAAAGTAGAAAAGATGGATTATTTCTTACGTAAATTGAATATTTTAACGCAAAACGTTCAAACGACGAAAGGAAAGCGTCGAAAGTGTATAATTTGCAATTTAAATTTTTAAACTTCTGCGACCACGCTTTTGAGTTTACATTTCAGGCGTGTACAAACAATCATTTGATTGCTTTGTTTTCATATTTTAATAATTAGGAGCGGGATATTTAAACTCCGGCCGCTCTCGATACGAACAGGAATGACAAACAACACGGAAATTTCCTGGGAAATTTTCCAGAAAATCCAAGAATTTTCAAAATGCGAACCATTAATTCAACAGAACATTCCTCAAATTCCATGAAGAAATTCAAATGGAACGGAAATTGCTGGTTAAACTTTCCAAAATTTTCGGTATGTCTCACAAGGTTGTCCTCTTTTCCTGAAATTCCGGAAAATTCGTCGAAATTCAAACCGGAATTTTTGCATGGTCGAATGAAAAGCGCTAAATGCTCATCAGAATGTAATTGAATGTGCAATACACGAACTATTTGCTGATCACTTCAATTCCGTGCACGGAACGGAGCGTTATATTTAAGATATCTTACAATCACAGATCTCATTACCACCCCTGGGGTGGGTCATCCCATTTCACAACAGGAAATGGAACTCGTTTGCAAAATAATTGCTTAAAATAATCGAAGTCTTGAGACTACCGTTACTGGAAAAGTTGGCTGCACATACGCATTTTGTGCGTTTTCGTACACCTCGTTGGCCTGAAAACAATCGCTTAACTTTGATATCATCGTGGCATAGCTGACAATTAAACGACCCACCCCACCCTCCCCCCTCCCCCAATACTTTTCGATCAGTCCCTCAGAAGTCGTCCTGGGAAACAACCACTTTCAGATTTGATAAAAATGTATGAGCGGGAAGATTCTGATTTGGGATTGTAAAAAATATAATCTTGGACCCGTAATTAGCATTGTTGCTGGGGAAGGCAGGCAAATTTGCGCTTGTGACGCTTTGTACTAAAGGTATAATGGCGCGACGGTGTAAAACATTTTCTGATGGCAAAAAAGTACTTTAAATTCGAAGGACACTCAAAAGAATAGATTTCCAAGCTAGAAATATTCACAGTAACGTTAATCGGCGTTTCCATGTATTTATAACCATTATAGAGATTGAAAGCTTGTTACATAGTGCAGTTGTGCATATCGATAGAATTGAGCTCCTTCAAAAACGATGTTGGGTACATCAGAACGTCGATTTAAGTTACTCTTAGATACTTCTTGTTAAATTCTTTAACAAGCAGAAAAATAGGAATCATAAAAGGGCAAAGAACAAGGGTAGTGATGAAGACAACTTTTTATCAAGCTTTTCCGGGATTTGAGGACCCATTGCATTTGTGAGGCAACGAGGCAATCTTCCCAACTAAGAAAGGAAGTTTCTTTTCAGTGTGCAGGAATTCCTTTTAGACCTTTTCCATGTTTTTTTGACACGGCTCGCTTTGCATGTTTTTTTTTCTTGTGTAGGAATATTTTTTAGTAGTTGCACACACCACACCCCTCCCCTCCAATCAAAACTGTCCATCCCTTCGTGTGACGCATTGACAATCAAGTCGTTAAATGTTGTTTTAAAATAAATTTATTTGATTTTTTTTGTTATTACCTTTGTACAACTACTACTATGAGTAACGGAACCCTCAGAATGAAGATTATATAAAGAAATGCAAATTAACGAGCCAGAGACCGCGAGCAGTTTTTCCGGTTAGTTCGTGGACCAATGTGAGAAAATACGAAGAGTGTGTGACCAGACCGCACGTCACGCATTCTTTGGCTCCGTTAACAATACGAAGAGTCAGTGACCAGACCGCAGGTCACACAATCTTTGGCTTTGTTCACAATACGAAGAGTGCGTGACCATACATCACGTCACGTCACGTAATCTTTGGCTCCGTTCACAATACGAAGAGCGTGTGACCATACATCACGTCACGCAACCTTTGGCTCCGTTCACATTGTTCGACGATGTTATAAAAGACTGCTCGCAGTCTAAACAAGCCACAAATTTTGCTCAGCAGTTCTTTAAGAATTATTTTATAACTTGATGTGTTAGACGCGATAAATAACCTAATTCAAATGCCTGAAATTGGTCACCCGACAATTTTTTCTCACCATTCTCTATATACAGTTGGAAGACCGAGAAATGTTTCAAAAAATGCCCAATTCCAATCACAAATAGCACAAACACCTTGTTAAAGCAGCTCAGTCACAGCATTTCGCGTTATTTCGACAACGTGCAAAATAACCTTCAAATTGAAGGAAACCTGACAATAGTAGTTTACTAAGATAGAAAATCACCGAAGAACTGATAATAAACTATAAAAGAACAAGGATGGTTATGGACGGAGAAGATTAACACGGATTTCAAACGACGAACTTGAAAAAATTAAGCTAAACATTTCAAGAAGCGRAAACTGTGACATAGCTCCTTAAGTCGTGCTGCTAGGCGACATCCCTCCTGAAAGTTCAATCAAATCCCCCCCCCCGACTGTATATTTGAATTTCACATTTTTCGCGTTTTCACCTTCAACTGATTGACCAAATTTCCTTCCATCAAAATGCAAATTAACTTTACATTACAAGCTACTTCAATACCATTAATACTTAAAACTCTACTCAATGCTCCCCAAATGTTCATGAAGGTGCAAACATTTCTGTAAAATCAAACTCAAAATAATAACAATAATAATAATAATAATAATAATAATAATTATTATTATGACGATGATGATAATGATAATTCACCTCAAAAGAAAAGAAAAATCTTAAAGTTTTTCAGTTACATTTGAGGTATGAACTACCTCTCGCCAGAGCTTCTATATTTTGTTCTTTCAAGTCCAACGTTATCCTTAATAAAGGGAGATTTTGGGCGATGATTAATAACTTACAAATCTCTATATACAACTAAATCAGACTAGAAATGCTCCAGGTTTAAGTAGTATGTTATAATTTAGATCACACTTAAAAGAGCTTCATAAAAGGACTCTGGAGTGGTTCACTCAATTCACTTTAAAAGATACTTAAAACCTGCTTTACATTCCGCATGGCACACACTTAAAGAATTGATGTTCAAAACGTTTTTGGCCCAGTCACACTGCTTTTGATCATGTCGCTTGTCATCTTCAACTACAAGCTCGAAACGTGACGAAACATTCACCAATATTATTGATAAAGATTGACCTTAAATGTTATGGATAATTTCGTAGCATCAGAGGCTATGTTTAGACTGAACTAGATTCCAGCTGGGGTACCGAGAAAACATCCACTGCTTTTTCCGTTCCAAAATTATGCTGTTTTGACCACAAATTCTTTCGGTTTTCTTGTTATCAGAGACTGCTATTTTAACTAAATACATTTGCTGTATTCATTTAAAAGTTAGTTAAGTGTGGCCAATCACTAAACAGCAACAGTTATATTTCGCATGTCACTTAGAGCAACCCGAATGTACTTGTACTTTTTGAAGTGAATTGACTGCAAGACCTTACTGAACTGAGGGAAGCAATCAGTATTTCTGTGCAATTCTAACACTATATATAATTCAATAAATTTCCTCTGTGATAAACCCAATTAATAACAGCAATACCATAGGTTTGACTCACCTTGACAATGATAAAAATAATTTTAAATATCGTAGTTTTAAAGCACGTGAGAGAATCTCTCAGCCTACTACTCAAGTCATCATGTATTGAGATATATTTCTCCTCTGGAGAGTTTGGTTCAAGTCAAGATACTTCTCTAGAGATGATTACATCTTTGCTTCTCACAACTGGGCCAAATGAATTTGTCTAACATTTGTCAGAGAGAAGTTAGGAAATCATCACTATGCGTCTGGGGCAAGTGGCAGTAGTTCATAATGAAGCCATATTTGTCCCTGCTATATAACAGACGTCTTCATAGTACTCAGTAAATTTATTCCACGACAGTTGATAACCAACTGATATCTTCTCAGTTGTTCCGCATGGTGAATGTGGCCGGTAATACTCCTCCAGATCTCCATGAGCAGGAATTTCTTTGTAATTGCAATATTGATGTTTTCCAGTTGATTGTTTCATCCTTGGTTGGGTTGACAGAATGCCACTACGGTGAAACACTGCCTTGGTACAGGATCGCCAAATTAATTTCATCAAACAGCATTGGAGAATCCTCTTTTCACTTTCAATTAGAGCTAGTCTTGTAAATAACTACTTTTTTCCCAGGATGGCATCAATGCAGACTGCAGGCAGGTTTGTCGGTCAATAACACACTATTATAAAGATTTTCTGCATTTTTTTTCCCGTTTTCATCTTTTTAAATTTTTTGTGGTATTTAAATTAGAACCAAGTCTTGTACATTGCAAATGTCTTAGTGGCAATCGCTTCTTATTTAGAGGTCACCCCTTTGTCAGAGGCTGACGCACACTCTCCAGAAGTTTCCCATTTAGCGTCTGTCCTTTCTGAGGAAACTCCTGCACCAGAATGGCTTTTATTGGAAGTTGCTTTCCCAGAAGTGCTTTTACCACATGCAACTTTTCCTGAAGTAGCTTCAGAAGGTGAAGCTGTATGGCTCTGTTTACCAGTTGCAGCACTCTTTTTGCCTTTTCCTTCTGATGAACTTTCCTTTTCTGTTTTCTTCTCTGTACTCTTCTTTTTTGTATCACTGCTTTCACTGCTTTTCTGACTCCGCTTTTCCTCCTTGATGGTCTTTGGGTCTTCCTTGGAACCATGAGGGTGATGATCGTGTTTATCACTGTGCGAGTTGTGTCTTGATCGTGGCTTGTTGCTGTGTGGGTCCACAGGGAACTGATTCATTGGCTGGGATGAAAACAAAATCACAATCAGCTATCTTCCTTATTTCATCATCTACTTTTTATCATCATCCACTTTCCTACTACTTAGTCCCCCTCCACCCCTACCCTCAAATATTTTTATTTAGTAATAGTAGGCAAGTCTATCACAGGTCAAACTCAATGCCAGTATACAAACTTGGCAATAAAATATGGTGAAGTTGTGGCACCCATGGCAACTCAGAGACCTCCACACTCAACAGCACACTTTGAGACTCAAAGGAACTTTGCCACCTGACTCAGGAGCACTCCACGCCGAACTCCCAAGACTTTGAAACTATCACCACAGTTATCACTGTTCTACAGTATCCATGATAATGATTTGTGTGCAACACTAGTATGGAATTCTCTCTGTCAGGCAGAAAATTTTCCTTCAGTATTTGGAACACATTGTTTGCAAATACAAATGAAGTAGTCGGTGCAGTCTTACACGTAGTTCTTCAAAGTCATAACTAGCAACATAGTTACTACATGAAGGTTAACTTTGTTACAACATAGTGGATGCTAACTTACATCATTCCTGAAATCATCTATCGTCTTGTACTTTTCTAAGCGCTTTTGAAGCTCTGGATCAATTTCAAACCTTGTTTTCCCCTAAAAGTAACGTACATATTATTTAAAAGTTGATCACACTAGAACATTACTATACAAACTTTCTCCACACCGAGACAAGCTGCTACATTGAAAAAAAAACCAAAGTAAAAAAGACAAAACAGGTGGAGAAGAAAAAACTCACTTTGTAATACTTGAGGAATGCCCAGAACTTCTCTAGACCGTAGAGATTCCCTGCAAGAGGAACAGAATTGTGAAGCATGTCACATGTTACATGAGTGCATTACAGTAACTGTAACAACAACAACATCCCAATTAAAATGACGGACAAACAAAGGAGCAACTATAGAAGGCATGGCCACTTTGGACCACCTCTTTTCCATGTGTCAAAACCTTTCGTAGAATGAAGCATTACACAATGGGCACCTTTGTGATTCAATGAAATGTAAATAAGTGGCCATGTAATCTGGAGTTTAGCCACAATTTTGAACATGACTCAAACCAGAAATAAGACCAGGTTCAGAGGTAACTTTTACCAGCTGCAGCATAATCAATTATATGTCAACCTTGTGGTCATTTCTATAGAAAACATGTCATACAGATACCTTGGTCATGATCTCTCATTGTCTCTGTCTGGAAGTCTTTGAATAAGTCTGCCTTGAATTTCTTTTCAAGGCCGTAACTATAGAATCTGAAGAGACACTCCAACCCATATCTGAGAGTAAAGACAAGACAAGCACTGGTTAGTACAAGTATTTATTGTATTTCCAAAACTTTTTCAAAACTTGCAGTTCAAGGGTATGATGGGAAAACAATTTCTAGGACATGATAAGGTTTGCAGGACTCTGAAGTGCATAAACTTCCCCAAGAAGACCCCCATGCATACACTGATCCATTGATGCAACTTCTATTAGTACACTACATTGTACACTACAGCTTAATGCCACAAATTATACCTGTATCCCGCTAAGGCATCTTCTACTGCTAATGCTCTGAACTCATCATACATCTTCCTGAAAACCAAAAAGCAAAATAAAGATATACATAATTTATAACAAATACATCCACTGGCATACTACGATGTACATTTCATGAAGGAAAGGCGTTCATTAAGAGAACTAGCCAAAAGTTCTAAATAATTAGAGCCAGGTTGTTCAAAAGTCGGTTAATGCTAACCCAGGATTAAAGGTTAACCAAAGCATTAATTTTATATAATCTTCAAGTGCTTACCTATTAAAATGAGATCTCAGGAAGAATGACCAGAATCTAAACAATGTATTCATCTCTTGTGATTGACCAATTCCCACCTTTTTTCTCTCTGTAAGAAAGATGAAAGGTCACTGTCAGCTTCACAACAAAGCACTGAATTGATTTCATATGGGACTGTTTTTAATTATTGTTTTGAAGAAAATCTTGCATGTACAACAATATTTACTGTGCTATCACTGGGAGTTCCACAGCTAATGCCAAACCTTCAACAGCAAGGATTATGTATTGTATGTTGGAGTTATCTCAGAGTAAAAGTGATCTTAACAATAAGCTCTCTGAAGTGACAATAACAAAAAGGCTGTCAACCAGTTTGTTGGACTGTCAATATTGAGACCTTGAGTGTCATAAGCAACAGGCTGCATGTTTTAAGTGTCAATGTAACAATACACAGTGTTCCAGATAAGCAAGGGGTCTCAGGTCAAAAACCTGACAAGGTCAGCAACATGACCTGACAAATTAATAGAAAATTTATGATGATTTGGTGGGAGCATTGGAAATTGACCCGTTGGAATTCCTCATTGACACCATACCTTGAAAACTTATCTGCAACCCTGAATACAGATGGTAAATACACATAAATTAATTAACTTTGACAAACCTTTCAGACATTTGTTGTGATATTTAGAGTAGAGTTGTTGCGTAAAGCCATTGTCCTGTAGAAGTTCATGTGAGGGATGCTGGAAGCGTGGGATTGGTTGTGGTGTTGATCCATAACTACCAACAACAGGAGCCATACCCTCTGAGACACTGTAGCTTGGACTACAAGAAAAAAACAGTGGCAGAGAAAGTTAACAACATATACCCGTTTCCCTGTCCATGGCAGGAACAGTTTCTCCCTGAACTGATTTAATACATGTAGTCCCTAGGACACAATGTACCCAAGAGATTTTTTAGCACTATCAATTTTTAACCCCTACAATGCAATTGGAGGTTGGGTTCCCAGGAGCCTGGTGATATAAAACTGCAAACTCCAGCCTGAGGTGGTAGAATACCGCCTTGGCCTGCCCTACCCACAACTCAGCCACACGGCCAACAAGTCGGCGCTTGCCCCTGCACCTGTCAAACGCACCTGTAGGTTCAGTGGAAATAGTGGATAGTACACCACCACCAACAAAAGAGGAATGAAATGAAATAACACCCAAACAGAGGGTAATAAAGCACTACTGCATGGAGGGCAGGGTAAGGAAACACCAAAACGCTGCACACAGCACAATGCCAAGCTTGAAGAATGAAGCGTCAAAGCTCACATGTGTGAGAGCTCAGGCATTAGCAACAACTGGAGACTGTAAACCATGACCCCACCCACAAGCCAAACAGACAAAGGTGCTAAATTTTAGACGCTGATATAAAACAAGTTAATGCTGAACCCCAGGGTGTCAGACAACTGGAGGTTCAACTGTACTGGATTTTATGTTGCAAACAATTGCACATACCTTCTTGGTGGTGGATACTCCTTGGAGACCATCACCCAGCCAACATGCTGTTCCACAGGTGGATTCTGACTGTATTTTGTCTTTCTTTTCTTTGGACCCTGATAGCAAGATGTAAATATACATGGAATTAGAACAACATAATCCACAATAAATTCACATGTAAGAGTGTCATCATTTTTATCCTTATTACCCACAGAATTTCAATAAAATCAATGAGGTTTTCCTAACAATTTGATGGGGGCCATTATGTACATCTGCCATGAAAGAGGCACCACCAGGGACCAAGCATGATGTGAAGTGACTGGCAGTGAGAATAACATTGTCTGCCTGGTTTGATCATTTTCGAAACTTTTTTTTTTGCTCAAAAAGAAGTTCAGTTCAAAAAGAACATTTGCCAGCCTGTGAAATCCAGCTGCCTTCCTGCTAAAAACCTTGATGAAGCCCTTGGCCATGCAAGTAAAATGTCTTGCCTAAAACAAAACACAAGGGTGGCTGCACTAAATCTGTTCAGTTGCCAATCTCAAATTCAACATGCTAACCATTAAAACACTGCATCTTCACTTTTGTAGTAACAACTGTACCTATTGCACTGCACTGTACAATATCAGCAATTCTGTCAATGGTAGGCTGTATTGAATTGAAACAGGAAATCAACACTGATTCCCATTGAAAAGTAAAATAAACTTACCTGGTCACTGATATTCTCCTTGCTGAAAGCAGGAAAGAACCTAGGCGCAACCTTGACATCTTTCCTCTTCGGTGTGCGTGATCCATGTCGTGCGAGTTCCTTGTTGGGAGACTCGGGAACACCAGTCGGGAGAGATCTAGACAGGGGTTCGGTGGGGGCAGTGTTGGCTCGGGGACGGAACACTTCTGCTGATGGTGAAAGAGCAGTGTGGGGAACTGTTGTTATGGGAGGGCTGGGTGGAGGGAATCCTGCCTCTGTGAATGAACGAGCTCTTGGTGGTTCTAGTGCATCACGCTGGTAGTTGAATTTGTCCTGACTTACAATTTCAACGCGTTTCATTGATGAAGAAAGAACAATCTATGAACGAGAAACAACAATTGCACTCAAACTTCAGCTAAACAACTCATACCAACAAGTAGATTTTCCAGGCATCAAGGTTCCAGTAGAGCAACATTAACCCATTGACGCCTGAATGAAATTGCCTGCGACCCACCCCTAATTCCCTGGCGTTTTTTGGAATATTTCTGAATGAGCGAAAGCACAAAAATAAACCATATGCGCAGTAACCACAGACACAGGATCAGGTTTCAAGACATCGTTTATTTAAAGTTGAATAAATGNAACAAGGTACAACAGGTTCATTTGACGATTCTTGTATTGAGTTTGAAGGCGTACACAGCCTCTTGGATGAATGGGCTTAGTTGCAAGCCAGCCTTTCAAAGGTTGCTGAATCTTTTGGAGAGGTTTTTTGGAGATTTTCTTATACAGATGAAAGGGTATGACAGTAGCCCCTGCACCTGTGTCTGCTTTTACTTCAACATTCTGCCCTTCAATCTTAACCCATTGACGCCTGAATGAAATTGCCCACGACCCACCCCTAATTCCCTGGCGTTTTTTTGGAATATTTCTGAGCGAGCGAAAGCACAAAAATAAACCGTATGCACAGTAACCACAGACACAGGATCAGGTTTCAAGACATCGTTTATTTAAAGTTGAATAAATGAAGGGTCAAAATATTAAAAAATATTAGCAAACAGAACTCAACCTAATGTGTAAAACTGATGAGAAAACAAGAAATTATATT